TTTGAGCTAAGGAAATCAAAGAGAAGAAGTTGGGCATCCATTCTTGAATTACAAGGCATTTTCGTGATGAACACTTGATCCAAACCCTAGCCTATGTTGTATAACTTCACTTTGAAGGCTTCTAACTTGTGTTTCACTCCATAATTAATTAATTATACAACTGATAGAGCCATTTTCCAAGCATTTGAGCTCTTATTCAAGTTACAATTTCATTAATGGCACAAAGTAACATTGTTGTTCTAGTAAAGTTTCTTTAATCACAAAGTCAACTTGTCTTGAGCATTGCACTTGTTCTTTCTGCACAAGCATCCTCTACAAACTCAGAATAAACATGTTTAAAGTTTGTAGCCACCCTACATGCCTTGTATCATGCCTTGGAAAGATGTTTGTCAAGCTTGCTTCAAAAACAAGTAAAATATCCATAACTTGTGATCTTGTATTTCTGATCCCTCCAAGCTTCCAAACATTTGCCTATAAATTGAGCCTTCATTCACAAGCCTAGGACATCAATTCACAACCCTCTGAAACTCTCCAAAACTCCCTCTAGACAGAAATTGCATACAAACTCCATTTTTATGCAGATTTTGACCTTGCACCTCAAAGCCACATTTCCCTCGTGTGTTTCCTCTCTAAACCAATTTTTAAGCTTTCAAACATCAAATATAGTTCATCCCTACCCTTTTTTCACAGTTGTAACACATCTATCACCATTGTTCAAACCTCACTTTGCACCTCTACAACTTGACTTCTTCAGAACATTCCAGACACTCTCAGCTCTAGATAAGCATTGCATTAGCTTCCTAGAGGTTCAGAGAAGCTAACCAGATCATTGCAGCACCTTGAAGTAAGATCTAACTCAAAACACGACCTCCATATGCAAGGTGAGTTTTCTGGAATTCTAACTCTTCATACAAGCATCATCTGACTTCCATTTTAAAAGATAAAATGTATACATCATAGCCCTGAAACTAACCATGTCCTTGGAATTCATTTATGTTGCCTGAGTAGTGTGAATTTTGAGTTTAAACTTCCTGAAAAATTAGGTTAGAATTTGGTACCATTTAAAATTTGTGCTCATCTTTGATCTATTGTTTAAGTTAGTTATTTATTTGAAATCGTGGCGAAATTTCTAACAAGTTTGAGGTTTACACTTTTGAGAAATGAGTAAGTTCAAAGATTCAAAAATGTGGCGCGGGGAAGAAGATGAAGTACAGTCATGACTTGGTTTATTTTATCTTTATTGCAAGTGGTTTACATACCGGATGAAACAGCCACCCAGTGGCAACAAGCGCGCGCGTAAGGCATTACTATATAAGGTCATGACTTCAAGCCCCAGAGAGACCTTTTGTTTTTTCAACATTTTTCTTGTTTTCTTTTTTTGTTCCAAAACGCGCTCGGGCTTTTCTTTCACACCCCCCCCCCTCCCCGTTTACTAAACAACACGCAGCCCATCATCTTTTTTTATTTTATTTTTGTTTTTATTTCTGATTTCAAAAAGGAGCCTTGGGCCTAAACAAAATTGTTTTGCTTACTAACCTCCCTTTTTCACTTTCAAACCCCCTGATCCTGAATTTATATTTTATTTTATTTTTTTCTTATTTTATTTTATTACTATTATTTCTAATCAAAAAATACAAAAATATTTTTTTTAAAATACTTAGACTAAAAGTTATTATTTTATTTTACTTCCACTAAATAAAAGACTTAAAAATATTTTCTCAAACAAATTAATTTCTTCTCTTAATTAAAACTAATTTAGACTTAGATTTTGATTTTATCTTTTAAATTAACTTAGAACTATAATTAATTAACTTCTTTCTTTTTATTAATTTAATTAGGTTAACTTTAAAACCTTTCATAAAAACCATAAAAACAATTCTCTTTTCAATTTTTTTTTCTCTTTACACTTCTTTGTACATTTTATTATTTTGCATAACAATAATGTAATTGTCAACGCCTTGTAATAGTTATGATTTATTTTACTTGTCATCCCTATTTGTAATTTGTATCCTCATCCCTCTAAAGTATTGTAATAGTGTAGGACTTTTAAATTCCGCAATTTATCATTTTCCATATTATTGCTAGTAACTAGGGTTTGTATGGCAAGACTTAAAATCAAATAAGTAGATAACCCTAAATTCAAGACAAATTAAATGAAAACAATACACTTGACACACATGCACCTCTAGGGTTAACTCACACTTGTTGCCTCAGAATAATACAGTCATGTCCCTCGAACGTGAGATACTTTAGCAAAGACCCTCGATTACAAGATCGTAGTCCCTCGATGACCCTTTGATGTTGCCTTAGGTAAATGATCTTAGTCCCTTACGATAAATTGCTAAGGTATCTTACAATGTTGCCTTCTATGACAGTACGATGACCCACGCATGTCCCTTCACATCCAATGATATATGGTTTCTTACTAACTAATGGTAAGATAACACTATCTAAAGGATGAGGAAAAGAACAAAGATTTTTTGAGTGGGTAGAACGCTCGTAGTTGCTTGCTCACAAACACTTCAACAAAAACATTTTTCAAACACACCGATATTTTTCATGAAATATTTTTAAAAAGTCAACACTTTGTATACATTCTTATAGAGACGAGAATCATTACAAAATTCGCATAAACAAAAGCACTTTTCAAAAATACTTTCGAAAACAAACCACAAACACATTTACAAAGCATTTCAAAGTGAGCTAAAAGAGTTTGTAGATAACTACGGATGAAAAGGATGCTAACATCTTCCCTTTTCATAACCTACCTCCGAACTCAAGAAAATATCTCAAAAGATCTTTTTTGTTCTTTTCACCCTTTCTTTTATTGGATAAAAGAAAAGTCGGTAGCGACTCTTGTTATCCGTAACAATTGCAATAAAACGCAAAACACTCAAGTCAGTTCTCCCACTATATTACACCCTTCATCCTAAAATATAAGAGAGAGAAAATAAAATCACATTTATTAAGAAAAACAAAAATATAATGATTTGACTTCTGAATTTCTTAAAAAAAAATATCATGTAATATAAACACAATTCTAATGGGTTGTTAATTATAGAAAAGATGAGAGAGAGTAAATTAAATGTACTTTACATTTAACTTTATCTTGAAAAAATATAAATTTATATTTTCTCTTATATTTTGAAACAACCAAAATACATATTTTCTCTTTTATATTTTAGGACAGAAAATTACTTTTTATACAGGGAAAGAGTGTATAAATTAGACAAATAATCTAATCAACTTTCACAAGTCCCATTCATTATAAAATCATATTAACATTAGTTTAGCAATAATTGATAACTATGACAGATTATCCATACAACCTAAAATCCTCGCTGTATCTTTAAGCAGAAGAGTAAGTGTAATTAATTAGAACTTAAAAGAAATCACTATTGAAACTTAAAAGTAGGAACCGTCCTAAAAGTGCTTATGTCATATACTTGTATTCTACATATACCATCCCTACTCTTTAGTCCGTAACAGAATCATATACTTAATCACATGACACTTATGTCCTTTTCTTTTCTTGTTGGAGTATCATTACTCACAAAACAATTAAATAAAAAATCATCAAATAAAATTAATAAAAAAATAGTTAATTAAAGCTACCAGAATCTCTAATCACTCCATTATAATTAAAGGATGACATGCTTCTAACGTGCAATCTTGCTTTAACGGGTTTGTGTAAAATGCTATCTCTTTGTTTGTTTGGCCTAAATAATCGTCTAACCAAAGAAAGAGTGAAACGGATTGAAAACGTTAACACTTAAACAACAACCTTTCCTTGTTAATATTCAATGCTTTTATATTTTAAACCATAGAAAATATTATTCCAATTTAATTATCAGTTAGCATTACCACCTAAAACCGAATTTTAGTTACTTAATCTCCATCTAACTAGCACGCAATTAATCTTGGCCATTCGCATAGTTATGATTATGATTAATAAAAAAAAAAAAAACACTCACAATCGACATGTTCCAACTCATTCATTTCCAAGATTAATCACATCACATAATAATACAAAAGCATGTTTAATCATTTATGAATCATAGTCATGCATTACACTTCACTAGTATCATGAACTCACTAAATGAAATTAAAAAAAAAAATCCTCATGAATTTTTAATCATTTATGAATCATATTCATTGTGCTAGTCACGAACTCAATAAAATATTATATTTTATATTTATCTTAAAATTTCAACTGATAAATTATTTTAAAAAAATCTATTAATTCAATTTAATTAATAGTTATGTAATGATATTAGAAGAAAAAGTTTAAATATGTGACATCTCATTTTTTTATTATAGGTGAATTTCAACTATAAATTATTTGTTAATAAAAATTTATTTAAAAACTCAAATTATTTATAAAAGAAATTAAAATTATAAAAAATATTCTCTCTATCTCATAATAAGTGAATTTAAATTTTGTGTAGTGTTTAAGAAAATGACTAGATAAATTAATTTTAATAATAAAATTAATATTATTTAATAAAATATTTTTATTTATTATAATTAATAGAATAGTTAAAAAACGTGAAAATTAATAAATAAATGACATTTATTTTAAAATATTGAAGAATTGTAAATGAGATCGTTATTATAAGATGAAAGAGTAGTAAAGAAAAGTAAGTTGTATGAGTGTAGCAGCAATAAAACAGAAAGCGAAGGAAAAAAGTGTGGCTACGATGGGCGCGTGAAAACATTGGCTAGAGAAGCGCGTGAATAAAGTGAAAGAACTTTAATTTCTTGGCAGTAACACTTCTAAGGTTGGAAAAAAAGCAAAGAAGATTTTGGGTGGCTGACTCGTAACAAAACCATTACATTCATTCACTACCATTATATATAAATACATAATAATCTGTTCACACTTCACACACTCTTCCTTCATATTCATTTATAAATCACACACACTTGTGTTTGTCTCTTTCTCTCTATTCTCTACTACCTCATAGTTCTACCTTTTTTTTCATTTGAAATTATTTATCATGTTCTCTAAAATGGATATGGAAGGAAGTATAGGCAATAACGAACCTCTGGCGAAAGGGAAGCGAACAAAACGAGGGATAAGGATGTTGTCGCCTTGCACCGTGGCGAATACCACGGTGACGTCAAGTTGCTCAAGTGCTACCGGAGGTGGTGGCAGATCGTTTTCTTCCACCACTTTTGATAGCACTGAGGAGGAAGAGGAGGCTGACATGGCTAATTGTTTGATTCTCCTAGCCCAAGGAAGAACCGGAGGACAAGAGGATAATCAAAATCGACGTTGTCAAAACCACCATGATCAACAAGTTGGTGGTGGTTATAACAATATTGTAACTGAAAAGGCAACAAGAAACGGTTTTGAAAGCTATGAGTGCAAAACTTGTAATCGTTTTTTTCATTCGTTTCAAGCGTTGGGTGGACATAGAGCAAGTCACAAGAAACCTAAGATGAAAGAAATAATTTCCGCAGGTGAATTCGAAGAAGAAAATAAACATTTTCATAACAAGAATGTTTCTCTTGTTCCTCCGGTTTCACTTGAATTAAGGTGTGGTGGCAATCTAAACTTCCATGGCCATGGAAACAATATCAAACTCAATAGATCTAACAAGATTCATGAGTGTTCGATTTGCGGCGCGGAATTCACATCCGGTCAAGCATTGGGTGGTCATATGAGAAGACATCGAGCTTGTACTAACAAAAACAACAACAATAATAACAACAACAACGTTGGTGATATTCATGTTCATGTTAAGTCTCAGAATGTTCTAGAATTGGATCTTAATCTTCCGGCACCGGAGGAGGATCTCCGGGATTCAACTTTTCAGTTTCCGGCAATGGTGGGTTGCCATTATTAGGCCAGCTTGGATTGATTGGATGATTGGTGAAGGAAGATTATATTTTTATTTAGTTTGATCAATTATGATCATTGTGAATTAAATTATCATTACTATTATTATTAGCTTTTATTTTTATTTTTATTTACAATTATTTGATATTATGAATTCATTGGATTTTTATGAATAATTTTTTTTATTCTATTTTGATTATCTACTTGTTGAAGTTTTGGAATACTTTGAGTAAGTAAGTGGTTACTTGGTTAGTGTTGCCTTTCATTCACGAAAAGTGAGTCATATATTATGGAGTATCTTTATTTATTTATTATTTATTTAATTTTCTTTTAATATTTTAAATATTTTGGGTTTGTTTGTTTGTTATATATCTTCGTTCATGTTTGGTTGTTTCTTTTGTGTGAGATTGAAGAAATGGATGAGATAAAGGATGGGCATGATTAGGGTTTGGTTGCACCACCACCACAATCAAAAGTCATAAGAATACGCATCCTTTTTGTGGCTTTCTAATTTATCACTATTATTTTAATAAAGCTTATAAAAATCTCTTTCTCTTTAGCTTTCTAAGTTTCTCACTCACTCTACTACCACACTCACATACTTTTTTTTTATATTCATTACTCCCTCTGTCTCAAAATAACAAGAAAAATTTGTCTCAAATTAAAAGTTTTTTTTTTGTATATTTTTAATGCAACTTTAACTAATTTGTGTTAACTTTATTAAAAAAAAAATAGTTTGGAATATGTCATTACTTAAGTTAATCTATATCCATATCCTAACTATTAGTTATAATATCCACTATTGAGCTATTTATGAGTATAATATCTTTTGGCCCACTCCACCACCATCTATTTATATGTAGTTGTTTAATTTAACTAGTAAGCACATCCATCAGTTGCACCTAATTAACCCAATGTTCTCATAATTAAAAAAATTAAACAAATTTAAACACAAAAATATAAGAAAATCATAAAGTCTATATTAAATTCTAATTTTCTCACTTAATTTTATAATAAAATTTTAGATAAAAAGTTCCTTTTTTCTCTAATTTTAGTTTTTAGTAGGGTATTTTCTTGTCAAATTTGAATTTTGCAGAGAAATTTAAAAATAAAAGTACATGATATATATGTAGCTTTGGGATTATCTATTAGTGGAAGTTGCAAGCCAATACAAAATTGATGCTCCCAAGAAAGATTCTGCTGACTTGCAGACCACAAACATTTGATTATTTATAGAAGCTTTACTATGGTCCACTATCTGCATTGGACCCATCAACCATACTCTTTATCTCACTTTCTAGTTTCTAGTTATTAGCTTCACTCTTATTTATGTTGTTCACAAAATGAAGATCAGAAAAAGACATCACACATGAAAATATTTCCATTTTTTCTCTCTTCCATTCAAAATAAACAAATTGAGATTAACAACACAAAAATGGTAAATGGTATTGGTTTGTCTTAACTAAAGACAAGGGTATACATGTCAAAATCTAAGATTTAAATCACTTATACATTAGTAGTGATTCCTACAAATCTCATTGTAATCATAAAGTATTATGATTGATAATTCTATTAATGAGAAGTTAGTCAGAAAAAGTATAATTGTATATATTATATGAAATGTATCACTATTATTGAAAATATGTTTGGTAATATATTACTACATCATTTATCTACCATAGTCATATCTTATAATTTATGTGTTTTATTTTATTTTATTCAGAAATATTTCATCATGGTTATTTCAAGAAATAGTTGTCATATAATTTGTGTGTCTAACTTTGAATTTTAATGTCAATATTTTTTCAGTTTTTCAGTAGAAATAAGTGTGTGTTCTTTAACATTTATTTTTATTAAAAAATTGAAATTATAACAACTACGGTTGTTACAATAAGTCGTGGTTATATATTCAATATTTCACTACGGATGCATCTTTTAACCATTGTGAAATTGTTTTCCACAAAATTGAAACATAACAGATACTTTATTCCTTTCATAACACACATAATTTCCTAGCAAACGAGGTAACATCGATAGTGAAATCTTCACCATCCTCTTTGAAGAATCACTTCTGGAAGCGTATCACCATCATTTTCGAAGAATCATTTCTAAAAGCGAAATGTTCACCATCCTCTTTGAATATCAGGTACTTACCATACGACATTTCTAATTATTTCTTTTATATAAAAGTAAAAGATGATTGTAGCACAATACAGAATAATGGGGTTATGGTTTAGGTCAAATCCATGTATTTCTCTAGTTCAAAATATAAGAATCCTATTTTGGCAACCACCACATTCTATGGTGTCATTGAGGAGATTTTTGAAATTGATCATGTTACTTTCGAAGTTCCTTTATTCAAATGCAAGTGATTCCCCGATAACAATTATGTACAAACTGATGAGTTTGGATTCACACGGGTTGACCTTGGCAAAGAAACTTATAAGACCGAACCATTCATCATGGCAACTCAATCGAAACAAGTTTTTTATGTGAAAGACCTTGCGGACTTATCCGGGAAATGGTCAATTGTTCTCAAAGGAAAACATATTCTGCATAGTGATGATGCAAGCTTAGATATTGTTGTCTCTCCTTACGCAACACAATTGCCTAATTCATATGAAGAAGTTGACAGAGATGATTTACATGTTATTCGTAATGATCATCAAGAAGGAATATGAGAACATTAACAAGTAATTTATATTCTCCATTCATAATTTATTGTTTGTTATAATTTCCAATGATTTTATTTAATTTCTAACAACTATTTTTATTTGAAAATTATCGGTGTGTAAAGTGAATACACCAAGAGAGAAGACCCCAAGACAACAAGATAGTATAATTTAATATAATACATTGTATGTTGTTTTGTCTCAATTTTGATTTTGATTTAATATACAAGGTTGGATTGCTACTGGAATTGTGTCATTGATGTAATATATTTTTGGTCTAATTCAATTTTGGTTCCTGATTGATTTTTAGGTGTATTGTTGTTTCTGGTAGATATGATTCAGAAATATTCAGGTTGCGAAACTGGAAATTATTTAAAATAAAAAAATAAAAAATAAAAAACTAAAACTATATGACAATGATTGTTAATTTAACCATTGTTATAAGAAGAACGCTATCTAGAATAATAAAAACACAATAATAGCGTTGCTGGGATTCGAACCCAGGACCCTTCAATTTTTTCACAATAATTGTTACCTACAACCATAGTTATAAGTAGCGCACAATCTAATTTATAACAACGGTCACACGCCCGTTGTGGTAATCAACATACATTCAATAACATGCTACCTAAAAATAGATGTGCTTCCGTTATTGTATGTGTTTCACAACCGTTATTGTATGTGTTTCTGTAGTAGTATGTGTCTTTCTTTTGTAATGATATCCTTTATTTAGGAGTCTTGTCCTCCTTCATACTTAAGGTCCATAAAGACTATTTAATAGTCATTAAAATTGATGTTCTCTTTAAGGTTTCGACTTATTATGATCATTAACCTACTTTGAACATGTTGTCTGATACCTCTTAGTTCGAATATTCCCCTTGCGTTGGTTTTGGATCAACTTGATTGATTTAGCATGTTAATTGTTTTATCTCAGTGTTATTTTTTATGAGCGGATTAAAAATTAGGGCGGACTCGATCAAGTTTGTATCCGGACCTCAAATTTACCGAAATGCACAATGATGTTTTACACATGTTAGTGTTAGGTAACAATATTTTATATCGTGTGAGTGTCTTGTCTAATAACAATATTTTTCTATAACATTGATGCTATTTTTTTAATGATAAATTGTTAGTTGTTAGTATTATAGTTACACTCTTGCAAAGTCTAAAACTCAAAATCTACATCTTTTTTTACCATTAACTCAACTAATTCAATTCACTTGAACTATATATCTCATCAAATGTGTATGTGATGTTGGATACATCTTAATGTCAGACATGATACTTTATATCATGGAAATTGTTAGTGCGTGAGGTACTTTAGTAAGGAGAGAAAGAGAGAATAATAAAGGAAATAGGGATTTATATTATTGAATTGTACAAATAATGATACATATTAGGGCTATTTATATACAATCCTAATTGGGCTTGGGTCTACACTACTTGGATTATATTTAAATATTAAATCTAATTAAATCTAATCTAATCGCATATTTTAACAAATATAATTTAATATTTCGACACACCCCCATAATCCAAGTTGTCAAACATCCTCAAAAATAGTCAATCTGAACTATTCCTAATTTCTTTCTCAAATTCAAAAATTTGTCAATCTTCAATTCTTTGGTGAAAATATCGGCCAACTAAGCTTCACTCGAGCAATGTTTTACTTTAAGTTCACCTCAATTTACCTTTTCCCTTAAGAAGTGAAACCTTGCTTCAATATGTTTACTTCTTCCATGCATAACTGGATTCTTCGCCAGATTTATGGCTGATTTATTGTCGATTTGCAATACAAGAGGTTTCTTCACTTCGACCTTCATTTCTTCAAGTACAGATCTGATCCAAATTGCTTGACATGCAACATAGAATCCTGCTATATATTCAGCTTTACAAGATGATAATGCCACCACAGGTTGTTTCTTCGAACACCATGAGATTAGGGCACCAAATACTTGAAAGAAATATCCAGTTGTGCTTCTTCGTTCTTCCTTACCTCCACACCAATCATCATCTGAAAAATAATTAAATATTGCTTCTTTGTCTTCCGAATCTCATCGAAATAGTATTCCACAGTTTATCGAACCCTTCAAATATCTCAGGATTCTTCTTGCAGTCTTCATATGTGACACTCTTGGTTCACTCATATATCTACTTACTAATCCTACAGTGGAACCTATATCAGGTTTACTGTTGCACACATACATCAGAGATCCCACAATTTGCTTGAATAAAGTTACATCGAATTTGTCTTCCTCTACATTCTTCTGCAATTTTACATTTGGTTCGACAGGTGAGGATGCATGATTCGAACCATCTATTCTGAATCTCTTGA